GTCTGTATGTGGGATCCGAACCCTCGGCGGGAGCGCCGCTGCAGTGCGCCACCGGGCCGGCCCCTGTGTCTTAGTTTTTAATGCCAATCCCAGTTCAGAAAATCACAAGGCCTGTTAAGGGAAACAGTTAGCTAAGAGTACAACTCTGAAGAGTGTGTATTAGAAGTGTCAGAACAAAAATCAATGTGACCCTCTTTAGGGTTTTTGTTATTCAAAACAATGTGGGTGTTTACATTTTCAAATTCTAAAAAGATAAGTTTATTAATCAATATTTGGCAGATCCTTATAATATCACATTAGCAGAGGATAGTGTGTAGGCTGAGGATGTTTCTCTTACTTAAAATATAACATTCACACCATTTCTGTAGTGATCATTCCTCTCCTACATTGGAAGGAATCCAAAATTTCAGTCCTTGTAAAATCTCTCATCATATGCTTATGTCTTTTATACTATATAGTTAATAAAAAAAAGCAGGTTTGTATAAATGAGGAACATTTTAATAGTAAAAATGCTAAAATAGAAAATGTATTTGTCATTCATTTTATTTCATAAATTTGTTTTCTTTTTGAATTTTTTTCTTTTTATTTTTAAACAGGAGCATTTTGGAATTCGGCTTTCTTCAACACTGAGGCTTCATATCTACATTTCCCTACTTTCCATGGAGAACTTAGTGCTGACGTGTCTTTCTTTTTTAAGACAACAGCTTCATCTGGGGTGTTTTTAGAGAACCTGGGGATTACTGATTTTATTCGGATAGAGTTGCGTTGTAAGTCTCCTTTTCCAGAGAAGTCCATGGGATTCTATCATTTAGTAGTAAATCCTTTAAGTAATTTTTAAAATACTCATGTTCCTACTTTACCAGCTGAATCTTTTCACTGCATCCCTTTGAAAAAGTTCTACAATATTATCCTTTCTGCAGGAAGAGAATTTAACATTGAAACTTTGATAATTTGGGAAAATTATTGGTATTCTCTAGAACCAATTTAAGAAGAGTTTTAAATTCAAATAATTAAAATAAAAAAGTTTTTTAGTTAATTACTAAAGAATTTATGTAAATCAACCAGTCATTATTTTGATATACTCATAGGCTGATATTATATAGACCTTATATTATATAAACTTCGAATCACTTTAACAATTTTTTTACATAAAATGGCAGATGCTATTTACTTTTCTTACTCTTTATCAACATGAGAAATTAACTCAGAGGATGAATTTCTTTGAATTTTTTTTCCAAAAAATACAAATGTATTTTACTTTCTCATCCCCCATTAGAAGACCTGTTTCTGTACCGATGTTTGTGGATCTTTCCATAAAATTCAAACCGTTGTCATTATATTGAGGAATTGTTATGCTGTGGGGCTATTCCTAAGTATATTGAAGACTCAGTTCTCCACCAGGTGAGCTCACTTGAACAATCTTTATGTCTAATATTTCTAGCTCCGACAGTAGTGACTTTTTCATTTGACGTGGGGAATGGGCCCTTTGAAATCTCGGTGCAGTCACCTACCCACTTCAATGACAACCAGTGGCACCATGTTCGGGTTGAAAGGAACATGAAAGAGGCATCCATTCAAGTGGATCAGCTCTCACCAAAGACACAACCTGCTCCCACAGATGGGCACGTCCTTTTACAGCTCAACAGTCAACTCTTTGTGGGTAAGCTCTCTTTTAAGTAATTGGTCACTTAATTGCATGATGCAAATGCACAGATGGGTCAAAATAAAATAGTGCTGACTATAAAAATGAGAAGAGCCACAACAAACAGCAGTAACAAACCAGCATTTATTGAGAACCTGTGTTCCAGGCTGTGCCAGGTGTTTCATTTCTTCCTCAGAACCAACCTGTGAAATGGGTATTATCCCTGTTTTACAGATGGGATAACAGGTTCTGGGGGTTGACTCGCCTTCAGAAATCCACCTAATAAATGAGATTCAAATTTGTGTTTGACTCACTCCTAAACCTGTATAATTACTATTACAGATTACGTGATTTGTTCCAGATTGTTTCTTTGTTCGTTAATTTATTTCATTAGTACTTTTAATATGAGGTTGGAAATGTTTATCTGTGTTCCCAGGATTGTGGAGAAACCCTCCTAATTCCAGCTGGTGCCAACCAGTGATTCCCCCTAACACACACTGCATCAAAAACAGGCCAAGAGCAAAAAACAAAAAGAAAAAAGAAAAAGCAGAGTATGATGTGTAGAATCAATGGCTTTGCCACTGTCACCAGTTCCTCTGCTATTTTCCATCATTTTGTCCATTCTTCTGATCACTTACTTAATATTTATATCCAAGTGTTGTTCCTTTATCTCCTGAACTCATTCACTTGGCATTTGTAGACTTGACAGTGGAATCCTTCTGAATGTGTTTGTTTTATTTTGCATTTTTGCTAATTACCTTACAGAACTTATGGATCATGAAGTTCAAGGAATTCTCTCTCACTTGGTCATGTCTCATATATTTTAATGTAAACAAGGGCATAGCAACAGTATAAAGCAGGATAAATGATGAACTATCAGAATTTATATTTCAAGCATTTTCAGGAATTATATTTTAGTGCAGAATTCATCAGATTCCCATTATATCTTCCATTGCCGAACAATCTCATCTTACTAGCTGTCTTTCCTGAAAAGGATGAAGCTTATTTAAGACATGTCTGACTAAGACATATTTATGATTTCTAATGAATTTATGTACTCATCATTTCTATCATTTATTCTTTCACTCCATAAATATTTAATAAATAGCTTCTGTGAGTAAGGCACAATCTAATCATCATCTTGTGAGCACTAGACTGACTTATTTAAGGGTATGAATATAATAAAGAATATATGAGAAGAAATGTATAACTTTTCTTTTAGTAACATGCTAGAAGCTCAGTCAGAAAATTGGCATAGATATTTCTTGAATTACAAAAAATGAGAGACGACCACAACAAAAGGTAAGGGCAATTTAAAATCTGTCAGTGGCTTGGAAATAGCCTTACTATTCTTGGAAATTGAGAGGGCTGAAATAGTCCTTGGCTTTTTCAGGCAATATGCTGCAGTTTGCCTGTAGGTTATCTTTCATCCATGGAATGAATTTCAACTTCATAGAGATGAAGTCACTATGTATTTTGTCTGATATGAATCCTGGCCTTAATTTGATTTCAGGTAGTCATAATGGAGTACTAACATGGTATCAGAAAACGGCTCCAAAACAGATTTGAGTCTTTTGCCAGCAATCATGTGTTATAATGTTAATAAGAATCTAAGGGATTTAATATTTTCTGAGGCAACTGGTCAGGCCTTTGATATCCCCAGATTTAAGGATGGCCATGTTACTAGAAAGTTTTGAATATGGAAATCCTGATGACGTTTAAGTCAAAGCCATTGAAGATTAAAAAGAAAAGTCAGAAAGATCTCTGAAAAAAAAAATGACATATACTACAAATAGCCTCTGTTTATATGATTTCATCCTTATTGATAGGTAACTGTGAGTAAATTGGCCTAATTTAGTATGGTGATACTAAGAGGCAGACTCATTAAAAAAAAAAGACTTGCAGTTTTAAGTGGAGCAGATTATTGGCTATCGAAAGGCCCCATAAGGGACTTTTTTCTTTACCTCTACCACAGAGTGGACTAAACTCTCAGGAAAGGGCCCCAACCAAGTTAATACAACAGTGCTTAACAAGAAAAAATATTAATTTATCAAGTTACAACATTACTATAAAACAAATCAGAATTTTTAAAAATTTGTAGATGAAGATATTTTTTCCCTGCAGGCAGACTCAGTAAAAGACAAATTGCGATTAAAAAGTTTACACTGAGTTAGAGCACAGTGGGTGAAATCTAGTAAATAATCGGTAGTAATTAGAACTAATTTAATGAGGCACTTACTGAGACCAAAAAG